AGGGCACTTTCATGGAACTTTGTGACTTGCTTTCCCCTGCCCTGAAGCGCCAGAATACCAGGATGAGAGCAGCCCTCACAGTGGAGAAGCGAGTGGCGATAGCCCTGTGGAAGCTTGCAACGCCAGACAGCTACCGGTCAGTCGGGAATCAATTTGGAGTGGGCAAATCTACTGTGGGGGCTGCTGTGATCCAAGTTGCCAGGGCAATGAGAGACCTGGTGATATCAAGGGTAGTGACTCTGGGAAACGTGCAGACCATAGTGGATGGCTTTGCTGCAATGGGATTCCCAAACTGTGGTGGGGCGATAGACGGAACCCTTATCCCTATCTTGGCACCGGCGCACCAAGCCACCGACTACATAAACCGCAAGGGGTACTTTTCAATGCTGCTGCAAGCCCTGGTGGATCACAAGGGACGTTTCACCGACATCAACGTGGGCTGGCCGGGAAGGGTACATGATGCTCGCGTCTTCAGGCAGTCTCTTCTGTTTCGAAAGCTGGAGGAAGGGACTTTCTTCCCGGACCAGAAAATAACCATTGGGGATGTTGAAATGCCTATCGTTATCCTTGGGGACCCAGCCTACCCCTTAATGCCATGGCTCATGAAGCCGTACACAGGCAGCCTGGACAGTAGTCAGGACCTGTTCAACTACAGGCTGAGCAAGTGCCGAATGGTGGTGGAATGTGCATTTGGCCGTTTAAAAGCGCGCTGGCGCAGCTTACTGACTCGCTCAGACCTTAGCGAAAAGAATCTCCCCATTGTTATTGCTGCTTGCTGTGCGCTCCACAATATATGTGAAAGTAAGGGGGAGACATTTATGGCGGGGTGGGAGGTTGAGGCAAATCGCCTGGCCGCTGATTACGCGCAGCCAGACACCAGGGCGGTTAGAGGAGCACAGCAGGGCGCGGTGCGCATCAGAGAAGCGTTGAAAACCAGTTTTGTGACTGGCCAGGCTACGGAGTGAAACTTCTGTTTGTTGCTCCTTGATGAACCCTCTGCCCCTCCCCCACCACCCTGTTAACTCTACTTCCCTGCAAACCAACCACCCCACCCTCCCCTACTACCCTCCCCCCTTCGAGCACCACTTGCAGAGGCAATAAAGTCATTGTTACTTCACATTCATGCATTCTTTATTAATTCAGCACACAACTAGGGGGATAATTGGAAAGGTAGCCCGGGATGGGTGGGGGAGGAGGGAAGGAAAAGGACACACTCCAATTTAAAACTTTAAAACTTATTGCTATGGAAATCATCTAGGGTGGAGTGAGTGGGTGGCCGAAGGCCCCCCCACCGTGTTCTTGGGCGTCTGGGTGAGGAGGCAATGGGACTTGGGGAGGATGGCTGCTGGTTACAGAGGGGCTGTAGCGGCGGTCTCTGCTCCTGCTGCCTTTCCTGCAGCTCAACCATACGCAGGAGCATATCACTTTGATGCTCCAGCAGCCGGAGCATCGACTCTTGCTTTCTGATTACAAGTTGACGCCACCTCTCCTCTTCAGCCCGCGTTTCAGCACGCAACTTCTCCTCTTCAGCCCGCGATTCAGCACGCCACCTCTCCTCTCGCTCATATTGGGCTTTTTTAAAATCAGTCATTGACTGCCTCCACGCATTCAGCTGTGCTCTGTCAGCGTGGGAGGCAGTCTGAAGTTCAGTAAACATTTCGTCACGCGTCCTTCGCTTCCTTCTTCGAATATTCACTAGCCTCTGCGAAGGAGTAAGATTTGCAGCTGGTGGAGAAGGGAGAGGTTGTTAAAAAAGATACATTTTAGAGAACAATGGGTAGACTCTTTCACGTTAGATTTTGCTGTTCACAACATCACACAGCACATGTGCTTTCGTTACAAGGTCGCATTTTTCCTCTTATATTGAGAGTCTCCTGGTTTGGTGTGAGAGATCACTCACGCAGTGCCAGGACACAGATTTCAGCTTGCAGGCAGCCATGGTAAGACATATAGTCTTTGGGCTTTTTTAACCTTCTTAACATGTGGGGATGGTTTCAAACAGTTCTGCCCTCATTTCCCATACCAAGCACCCGTGCCATTTAAAATGGGTTTGCAATGTAAAAGGAGGGGCTGCGATTTCAGGTTTAACATGCAGCACAAACCCAACTAACTCCCCTCCCCCACACACCCAATTCTCTGGGATGGTCACTTCAACCCTCCCCCCCACCGCGTAGTTAACAGCGGGGTATATTTCTGTTCAGCAGAGCAGGAAGGGGCACCTCTGAATGTCCCCTTAATAAAATTGCCCCATTTTAACCAGGTGACCGTGAATGATATCACTCTCCTGAGGATAACAAAGAGAGATAAGGAATGGATGTTGTCTGCATGCCAGCAAACACCGGGACCATACGCTGCCATGCTTTGTTATGCAATGATTCCAGACTACGTGCTACTGGCCTGGCGTGGTAAAGTGTCCTACCATGGCGGACAGGATAAGGCAGCCCTCCCCAGAAACCTTTTGCAAAGGCTTTGGGAGTACATGAAGGAGAGCTTTCTGGAGATGTCCCTGGAGGATTTCCGCTCCATCCCCATACACGTTAACAGACTTTTCCAGTAGCTGTACTGGCCGCGATTGCCAGGGCAAATTAATCATTAATCATTAAACACGCTTGTTTTTAAACCATGTGTAATTTTTGCAAAGGTACACTCACCAGAGGTCCCCTGTGTGCCCTCAGGGTCTTGGGTGAGTTCGGGGGTTACTGTTTCCAGGTCCAGGGTGACAAACATATCCTGGCTGTTGGGGTAACTGGTTTCTCCGCTTCCTTGCTGCTGTGAGCTATCTATGTTCTCTCCATCCTCATCTTCCTCGTCCGCCGAACCTGCTTCCCCGTTTCCAGAGAGGGACTCATAGAACACGCTTGGGCTAGTGGTGGCTGCACCCCCTAGAATGGCATGCAGCTCTGCGTAGTAGCGGCATGTTTGCGGCTCTGCCCCGGACCTTCCGTTTGCGTCTCTGACTTTGTGGTAGGCTTGCCTTAGCTCCTTAATTTTCACGCGGCACTGCTGTGCATCCCTGTTATGGCCTCTGTCCTTCATGGCCTTGGAGATCTTTTGTAATGTTTTGCCATTTCTTTTACTGCTTCGGAGTTCGGCGAGCACTGATTCATCTCCCCAGATGGCGATCAGATCCCGTACCTCCCGCTCGGTCCAGGCTGGAGCTCTTCTGCGATCCTGGGACTGGGACTGGGACTCCATCACGGTTACCTGTGCTGATGGGCTCTGCATGGTCACCTGTGCTCTCCACGCTGAGCAAACAGAAAATGAAATTCAAACGTTCGCGGGGCTTTTCCTGTCTACCTGGCCAGTGCATCTGAGATGAGAGTGCTGTCCAGAGCGGTCACAATGAAGCACTGTGGGATAGCTCCCGGAGGCCAGTAATGTCGAATTCCGTCCACACTAACCCAATTCCGACCCCCTAAGGCCGATTTTATCGCTAATCCCCTTGTCGAGGTGGTGTTAGGAAACCGGTTTAAAGGGCCCTTTAAGTCGACAGAAAGGGCTTCGTAGTGTAAACGTGTCCAGGCTTAAGTCGATTTAACGCGGCTAAAGTCGACCTAAACTCGTAGTGTAGACCAGGCCTCAGGGGAGCCAAAGGGAACTCCAGCCTGCTACCTGCCAGGTTGCAGGCCCTGAGGGAAGGGCCTAAAGGGTCAGAGGGGAAGTGACCCAGGGAGAGTGGACAGCAAGCGAGGGGAGAGGAGGAGGGCAGGGAGGCTGCCACTTGAGCAGGAGCGGCGCCAGGGTTTTTGCCGCCCTAGGTGGCAGCGCTCCTCCTCTGAGTATAATAAATAATATATGGGGATATACCTATCTCATAGAACTGGAAAGGACCGTGAAAGGTTATTGAGTCCAGCCCCCTGCCTTCACTAGCAGGACCAAGTACTGGTTTTGCCCCAGATTGCTAAGTGGCTCCCTCAAGAATTGAACTCACAACCCTGGGTTTAGCAGGCCAGTGCTCAAACCACTGACTTATCCCTCCCCTCTGTGTCTTCGGGGCACTTCGGTGGTGGGTCCTGGAGCAAGTGAAGGACCCGCCACCGAATTTCCACCAAAGACCCAAAGCGGAAGGATCCCCCGCCGCCAAATTTCCACTGAGGGTGGTAAAATGTCACCCCCCAAATCCTACCGCCTTAGGTGACCGCCTAGGGTCACCTAGTGGAAGCGCCAGCCCTGCACTTGAGGGTCCCTGGGTCAGGACCCCGAGTAGCGGGTGGGCCTGGGTCCCCCCCTTCCCCCTTATATTGCAACTGGCCATGGGAAGTGGCCATATTGGACTGCACCATACCCCTGAGGGAAGGGGTTAGACTTTGGGAGTGGCTGGCTACTGCGGCAGGTGAACGACTGCTGTTAGTCCCCCCCGCCCCCATGGAAGGGGGTGAGAACGGACTAGGGGGCACTGCCGGAGGCAGTGTCCTGAAGGGGACGCCACGAGCAGAAGGGAGCAATCCGGGTCCTAGCACCAACAGAAGGCGAGAGATGGACGGGACACCAAAGAGAGGGCGCTCCCCATGGACTGAGCTAATTCCTGGAGTGACCAGCGGGAGGAGCCGCGGTGAGGAGTCCCAACCCCATCACACATACCTATAGAAACCCTTCTTGTTATTCTCCACATCCCTTGCTCGCTGCAACTCCAAGTGTGATTTGGCTTTTCTGATTTCACTCCTGCATGCCTGAGCAATATTTTTATACTCCTCCCTGGTCATTGGTCCAATCTTCCACTTCTTGTAAGCTTCTTTTTTGTGTTTAAGATCAGCAAGGATTTCACTGTTAAGCCAACCTGGTCGCCTGCCATATTTACTATTCTTTCTACACATCGGGATGGTTTGTTCCTGCAACCTTAATAAGGATTCTTTAAAATACAGCCAGCTCTCCTGGACCCCTTTCCAGACATTGACTGCACGTCCCCAAGGGAGGCGAGGCCCCAGGAGGCTGGAGCCAGCGTATGTAGCCCCTGAGCCATATTACATTAAAGTCACCTCCTTTTTCCTCCTTCCCTGTAGCTGCTGGCTCAGCCTGGAGAGCGGCTTTCATTGGAGCTTCCTGGGTCCAGTCTGTGCCATAATCCTGGTGGGTACCTCACAGAACCACAGGGCCCCATTCTCCTCTCACCTCTGCGACCCCATTGATTTCAGTGAAGCAGGGAGGAGAATGTGGCCCATAAAACACAAGGAAAGACCCAGTTAGGTCCCACCTGGCTCATCTGCTGTGGTCAGTCCCGGGATTAGTCCCTGTGCTGTATCCCCAGGCCTACAGCCTTTACTCGGGCACAGCTCCCATGGAAGTCAGTAGGAGTTTTGCCAAGTGAAGACAGCAAGAGTTAATGATTGAAGGAATGAGGAATGGAGAGGGCTGCACTCTGCAGTGTTTTTTGTAGGGAGGGAAACAAATGTCCCTACATATTCCTCCGTACCCCCTGGGGAAGTTGAGGGGGGTGAGGACTTTCTAACAGCCTAAAAGTGGCAGGAAGTATTCTAGAGGCAGGATCTGGAATCTCTGAGCCAGATCCTGCTCTCAGTTTCACCAGTGTAAACCCAAAATAACTACTGACTCCACTGGAGGGGCTCCATATTTAATCCTGAGCAGCATCTGGCCTTTGTGATCCCATCGATCCATCTCAGCCCTGGCTGTGCTGTCAGCTCCATGCATGGGGAGGGACCGGGAGCTGCCAGGGGATATTACAGGAGAGGGGATGATTCCCACCAGAAATGAGCAGTCCCCGGTTCTGCAGTGTTCAGCTCGGTTCCCTGGGATCGTTCTCTGCCTCAGCTGGAGTCACCGGCCCGGATGGGATGTTTTACAGGAAATATTTCCCACTGTTCCCACAGATAAATATAACGTTTTTTGCGCTGACCCTGTGGATCCTGAGAAACAGACTCTCCTCCTTCAATGCAGATGTGTCCACCATCAAAGACCACAGGTGAGAAGGCAACAAAACAATACTGGAGGGTCAGATGCCTTGGTTTGGAGGGTCCTTGGCACCGGGAGCGTGTGAGGGATTGCAGGAGGGGAACAACATATCTAGGATGCATGGAAATGAATTCCCAGTGTGTTTGGATTGACAGTAACCCTGTCCCACATAGGAAAGCCAGGGCTGGTAGCTCCACCCCACTCTGCCCGGATCCTCCTGACCCAATTGCTCTCCATAGGGTTATTGTAAGAGTATCTCTCCATCTGCCTTTATCCAGGTTACTGACCTTTAAAGCCATCGCCCAGCTCTTCCTTCTGGGCTGCACATGGAGCCTTGGTCTCCTCCAAATCGGCCCAGCAGCCACAGTCATGGCGTATTTCTTCACCATCGTCAACAGCCTGCAGGGAGCCTTCATCTTCCTGGTGCACTGTCTCCTCCTGTCCATGACCTCTGTGACATAATCGTAGCCTTAGCCGTGAGCAAACTCCCATCCCAGAATATATTGGGCAGTGTCCTTTGCCTCAGTTTATCCCCTTGTGGTGTGAAAGTATAACATATGTTCCTTCAATCTGCCTTTGCCCTTGCCCTCCCCTGCACCCCACTCACAGTTGCTGTCCTTGGCCGGTGAAGACCCAGAGTTCAGAGCCTTCGAGTGACTTCAACTCCCACCGCAGGGGTGGGAGATGGGGTCGAGAAATGCCTTGGCTGCGGCTACCGCCACCACGTACACAACTGAGGTCTGGTCTGAAGTACAGACCTATATATGTATAACTACGTCGCTCAGGGGGGTGAAAAATCCACACACCCCTGCCCCCCATGTGATGTAGTTATACCAACCTGACCCTCTGTGTAGACACCATGTGTTGGCAGGAGAGCTTCCCCCATAAACAGAGCTACTGCCTTTCGCCCAGGTGGATTAACTACACTGATGGGAGAAGCTCTCTCCCATCAGCTTAGAGTGTCTCCATTAAAGCGCCACAGTGGCACAGTTGCCTCAGTGCAGCTGTGCCGATGCAGCGTGTTAAGTGTAGATGTGCCCTAAGGCTCAGCGGCTAGACCTGATTATCAGTGATTTCAGCTCCAGCGATCACTTAACAAAACAAGGACTCTCCAGTGTGTCTAATGAGCTCTGCCTTTACACAGTGTTGAGGGAGAGGGTGAAATGGCATCTAGGACTCTTTAGGCAGAGCCCACACCCCCGGATACAGACACCTGCTCCCACCCTCTTTCTCTCTCACAGGGATTTGGCATCCCCACCCCCCTGCTTAGCGAGTGAGCGTCAGTCAGGGCAGGCTAAGCACAGTTCTGCTGCCCTTTCCTCACACAGTCAGGGTGACAACATGCCATTCCCCTGCACTCCCTACTAAAGTGATTTGTAACCCAACACCCGCCAAAAGGGGTCACTTTGGCAAAGCAGTTCCCTCTGCTGAGTTCCTAGGCACAGTAGGGTGCTTAGGCAAACACAGTCTGTTCCTGAAGTCTGTTCCTCCAGCTCATCACTCCACGTCAGAGGGGAGCTCAGTCCATCCCCACTTACACAGCAATGAAGAACTTGGAGGGAAAGCGGAGCCTTGCATGTCTGAAACACCTGCCTGCTCCCGCCCAGCTCCAGACACTGCAGCCTTCGCATGGGAGAGGAAGCTGCTGGTTCATTACAAACAGCTGATTGCTGCTCCTCAAGGTGGGGGAAGGGAGCAGGCTCTGTTTTTCCTAGGTGTGGGAAGCCCTGTTAGAACCACCCCCAGCAGCTGGCAGGGCCGGCTTTAGCGAGAGCGGGGCCCGATTCCTGGGGGTGGGGCTTGCTGCAAGCCCCACCCCCAGGAATCGAGCCGCGCTCTGGCCAGGGTTGCCGGGCTTGGGTCCGGCCCAGAGCCGCGCCGGGTCGGCGCCGCACCGCGGGGGCCGGGCCGGGCCGGGCCGGAGCCGGAGCCGCACCACGGGGGCCGGGCCGGGCCGGAGCCGCAGCCCTTCCCCCCCTCTGGGCAGGGTGGTCAAGCCCAAGGCTGCCAACTTAAGCCCCTCCCTGATCTGTCACACCAGGCAGGACCCAGGACAACCCCCCCACTGACCCCTCTGTCCTGCTTAGGGTCCAGCATGGGACTGAGGGCTCCTTGCCCCTGCACAGGGTGTTCTGCTCACAGACTACGCACAGAGCAATAGGGAAAGGAAACAAAAATCTTCCTGGCAGGTTGCCACGTAATCCAGAAATCTAAGTAGCCCACGAAAGCTTATGCTCTAATAAATTTGTTAGTCTCTAAGGTGCCACAAGTACTCCTGTTCTTTTTGAGAAATCTAACTGTGACCCAAGTCCCTGCTGATGCCAACTGGTCGAGGGCACAGGGGCACGCTGGGGTTACATGGATCCCCTTGGACATACTAATATATCGAAGCATGCCATGTGATTAATCCTATTTCTGTCCCTATGCCATGCTACAAGGTAATATTACATGTTTGCTCCGTAACTATAAAATGTTTGTTCTGAATAACTCACCAACCAGGGAAAAAACTTCACCTAATGTAAAATGCTGAATCCTTACAGAAGGTGTTATCTCCTGCCCATCAGGAAGGACAATTGAATCCAAATGGGCCATTGTGGGACATCACAACACAAAGGCTTTGTTAATGACCCCATCGCACCCATGGAGGGGCTTCATGCAAAAGGTTTTGACCCATCAGCTTGAATTGTGGAAGAAGGAAATAAAACTAGATGACAAGAAACTTTCTCATCTCTCTCTCTCTCTCTGCTGTTTGGACTCTCACAGGGCTGGAGCTAGGAAACAGGAGCTGAGATCCCCTGGGTCAACCTGGGTTAGCCCTAAAAAACATTCAGTGCTGACAGGTTACTACAACTCTGTCACCTTTCGGAACCACAGAGTGTAACTCATTTGCGTATGCATGCTGCCTGCTTTAACTCTCTAATTTCATTTGCCTAGTTAATAAACCTTTAGTTAGTTTATTACAGGATTGTCTACAAGCGTTGTCTTTGGTGTGTGATCTAAGGTCCAGCTTGCCTGGCAAGAAGGACTGGAATGCCCACAGGGACTGTGACTCCGCGGTAAGACTGTTATAGTGCTTCAGGAATTCACTCTTGTTATTGAGTTAGTGAACGCTAATCAGAGAGCAACATAGCACCAGTTTGGGGTCTCTGCCTTTAGGTTGGCACTCAGGGTTGTGGGCAGCTCCAGACAGCGTGACAGTGAGCATTTCTTTCCAATATTCTCACTCTCGATTATGGGAATCTCTGTTTGATGATAAACTTATTCTTGTTTTCAGCAGAACCTCAGAGCGGTTAACCACACACCTCATTTGGAAGCAGAAGTACGCAATCAGGAAGCAACAGAGTTCATGCCTTTGCTAATGGCTGTGAGATTGTTCCTAGTTCCTTAAGTAGGACGAATTGCATTGGGCCCTGGCATCTTGAATACATCT